AGAATAGAAAATAAGAAAATAGAATAGAAGAAGAAAAGAAAAAAGCAACCCAAAGGACGGAGTCCGAGAAATCCAATCGATCCAGAGAAAAAGTGGATTTAAATCCGCTTCCCGCTGTCGACCGCCTCACCTGGACGTTGATCGCCTTGTCAAAATCCTTGTGTTAGAATAGAATAAAAAATAAAAAATAGAATAGAATAGAGTAGAATAATAAAATGAAATGAAAAAATAGAACAGAATAATAAATTAAATTAAATTAAATTAAAAAATAGGATAGAATAAAAAAGCAAAATAAAAAGTAGAAGTAAAATAAAAAGTAAAATAAAAAATAGAATAGAATAGAATAATAAAATGAAATGAAAAAATAGAATAGAATAGAACAGAATAGAATAGAATAATAAAATAAATTAAATTAAATTTTAAAAAAAATAGGATAGAATAAAAAATTAAAAATAGAATAGAATAGAATAATAAAATAAATTAAATTAAATTTAAAAAAATAATAGGATAAAAAATTAAAAATAGAATAGAATAGAATAATAAAATAAATTAAATGAAATTAAAAAAAATAATAGGATAGAATAAAAAATTAAAAATAGAATAGAATAGAATAGAATAGAATAGAAAATAAGAAAATAGAATAGAAGAAGAAAAGAAAAAAGCAACCCAAAGGAAGGAGTCCGAGAAATCCAATCGATCCCGAGAAGAAGTGGATTGAAATCCGCTTCCCGCCGCCGACTGCCTCACCTGGACGTTGATCGCTTTGTCAAAATCCTCGTGTTAGAATAGAATAAAAAATAAAAAATAGAATAGAATAAAAAATAAAAAATAAAAAATAGAATAGAATAGAATAGAATAGAAAATAAGAAAATAAAATAGAAAATAGAATAGAATAGAATAATAAAATGAAATGAAAAAATACAATAGAATAGAATAATAAAATAAATTAAATTAAATTAAACAAAAATAGGATAGAAGAAAAAATTAAAAATAGAATAGAATAGAATAGAAAATAAGAAAATAGAATAGAAGAATAGAAAATAAGAAAATAGAATAGAAGAAAATAGAAAATAAAAGAAAAAAGCAATCCAAAGGAAGGAGTCCGAGAAATCCAATCGATCCCAAGAAAAAGTGGATCGAAATCCGCTTCCCGCCGCCGACCGCCTCACCTGGACGTTGATCGCCTTGTCGAAATCCTCGTGTTTCTTGATCAGCGCTTCCACGCTGTCCAGCGAATCGCCTTTGTCCTCCGTGTTGAGGAAGGCCTCCCGGGCCGCCATCCAGTTCTCCGCCTGCTCACAGTCCCGGTGGAAGAGCTGTGGGGCAGAGGTTAGGGGTCAGAGCTCTCCGACCCACGGCAGACCAGGGACTTCCTGTCTGGACAGGAAACGGGGTCCGGGTAGCGGGTTCGGGGCTGTCCCCCCTTGTTGGCCATGCAGATCCCTCTCTGCCCCCCAAGGAGGGGACCCTAGATGGTTCCAGGCGGTGCCCCCTGTGTACGACCCCCATCTGACCCCCAAGTGCCCCACGTGGGGGACCCTAGATGGTTCCAGGCGGTGCCCCCTGGAACCGCCATCCAGTTCTCCGCCTGCTCACAGTCCCGGTGGAAGAGCTGTGGGGCAGAGGTTAGGGGTCAGAGCTCTCCGACATACTATTACTATACTATACTATACTATACTATACTATACTATACTATACTATACATTATAAATAGTATACTATAAATTATACATAGTGTATATACTATACTATGCTATACTATACTATACTATACTATACTGTACTATACTATACTATACTATACTATAAATTATATATACTATACTATACTATACACTATACCATACTATACATTATATATAGTATACTAAAACTTATATATACTATACTATACTATACTATACTATACTATACTATACTATAAATTATAAATAGTATACTATAAATTATACATAGTATATATACTATACTATACTATACTATACTATACTATACTATAAATTATATATACTATACTATACTATACTATACTATACTATACTATACTATACTATACATTATATATAGTATACTAAAACTTATATATACTATACTATACTATACTATACTATACTATACTATACTATATAAATAGTATACTATAAATTATACTATAAATTATACATAGTATATATACTATACTATACTATACTATACTATACTATACTATACTATGCTTCACTATACATTATAAATAGTATACTATAAATTATACATAGTGTATATACTATACTATACTATACTATACATTATAAATAGTATACTATAAATTATATAGTATAATTACTATACTATACTATACTATACTATACTATACTATACTATACATTATATATAGTATACTAAAACTTATATATACTATACTATACTATACTATACTATACTATACTATACTATAAATTATAAATAGTATACTATAAATTATACTATAAATTATACATAGTATATATACTATACTATACTATACCATACTATACTATACTATACTATACTATACTATACATTATAAATAGTATACTATAAATTATACATAGTATATATACTATACTATAAATTATATATACTATACTATACTATACTATACTATGCTATGCTATACTATATACTATACATTATATATAGTATACTAAAACTTATATATACTATACTTTACTAATACTATACTATACTATACTATACTATACTATACTATACTATACTATACTATACTATACATAATATATAGTATACTAAAACTTATCTATAGTATATATAGTACACTATAACTATACTATACTCTAGCAAGCTCCTCCCCTGGGGAAGTCCCATTTGCCTAGCCCCGCCTCCGGGAAAAGAGGCCCCGCCTCTGGGGAAGGAAGCCCCGCCCCCGGAAGGGACCAATCACCTGCAGCTCCAGGCACTGGTCCAGCATCATCCGGCGCTGGACCCAGGCTTTCTCCAGGTCGGCCCTCTGCTGGTCGAGGACCCCTAACTTCTCCTCGATTTCCGGGCTGGCGTAATGGCCGCGGGCCAATAGGAGCTGGCCAAACTGTTCAAAGGCCTGGAAGGTTCCGGAACGGGCGTCGATTTCGGTGCGGTGCTCCTGGGGGGGGGCAAAGAGAAATGGAATGAAAAATTAAATTAAATTAAATTAAATTAAATTAAATATTAAATTAAATTAAATTAAATTTAAAATTAAATTAAATTTAAAATGAAATTTAAAATTTAAAATGAAATGAAATCAAAATTAAAAAAATTAAAATTAAATTAAATTGAAAATTAAATTAAAAATTTAAAATGAAATGAAATCAAAATTTAAAAAATTTAAAATTTAAAATTTAAATTTGCGGTGCTCCTAGGGGGTAAATTGAAAAGGGTAAAGTGAAATGAAATGAAATTAGATTAAATGAAAAATGAAATGAAATGAAATGAAATTTAAAATTAAAAATGAAATCAAATTAAATTTAAAATTAATAATTAAATGAAATCAAAATTTAAAAAATTTAAAATTAAATTAAATTTAAAGTTTAAAATGAAATTTAAAATTTAAAATGAAATGAAATCAACATTTAAAAAATGTAAAATTTAAATTTACGGTGCTCCTAGGGGGTAAAGTGAAATGAAATTAAATGAGATTAAATTAAAAATTAAATTAAATTACATTAAATTAAATTCAAGAAGCTCAAAGGCCTGGAAGGTTCTGGAACGAAATTATAATCCTGACTATTAATAATTGAATGATTGTTACGTAACAATTTAATCACGATTCCGTAATAATTTAACAATGATCATGTCATAATTTGACAATGATGTAATAATTATGAAAAATAATAATTCAATAATGACGTACTTGGTGCCTCTCCAGCAACGCTTCCGCCCCGGTCACGTCTTTCGCTAATTCGTCGGAGGAAACGAGTCCGCGGATCCCGTTGATCCAAGACATCAGATCCCTGCGGAATAATATATAGTAATATAGCAATATATAATGTATAATAATAGAATAGAAAATAGAATAAATAAGAATAATAATAAGATATAATATTATTATTATTATTATTACTATAATATATAATAATATATAGTAGTATAACAATATATAATGTATAATAATAGACTAGAGAATAGAATAAATAAGAATAATAATAAGATATAATATTATTATTATTACTATAATATATAATAATATATAGTAGTATAACAATATATAATGTATAATAATAATAATAGAATAGAAAATAATAGAATAGAATAACAATAACAATAACAATAATAATAATAATAATAATAATAATAATAATAATAATAATAATAATTCTACCCCATCCATCTGGCTGGCTTTCAATAATAATAATAATAATAATAATAATAATAATAATAATGGGGCGGAAAAAGATAGTAAAAAAAAAAAGGAGGGAAAGAAGGGAGGAAAGGAGGAGGGAAGGAAGGAAGGAAGGAAGGAAGGAAGGGTAGAAAGAAGGAAGGAAGGAGGGAGGGAAGGAAGGAAGGAGGGAGGGAAGGAAGGAGGGAGGGAGGGAAGGAAGGAAGGAAGGAAGGAGGGAGAGAGGGAGGGAGGGAAGGAAGGAAGGAAGGAGGGAGGGAGGAAGGAAGGAAGGAAGGAAGGAAGGAAGGAAGGAAGGAAGGAAGGAGAGAGGGAGGGAGGGAAGGAAGGAAGGAAGGAGGGAGAGGAGGGAAGGAAGGAAGGAAGGAAGGAAGGAAGGAAGGAAGGAAGGAAGGAGGGAAGGAAGGAAGGAAGAAAGAAAGGAAGAAGAGAGGGAGGAAGGAGGGAAGGAAGGAAGGAAGGAAGGGAGAGAGGAAGGAGGGAAGGAAGGAAGGAAGGAGGGAGGGAGGAGAGAGGGAGGAAGGAAGGAGGAAAGGAAGGAAGAAGGAAGGAAGGAAGGAAGGAGGAAGGAAGGAGGAAGGAAGGGTGGAAGGAGGGAAGGAAGGAAGGAAGGAAGGAAGGAAGGAGGGAAGGAAAGAAGGACGGAAGAAAAGAAGGCAGGAAACAGGTGCAGGGAAGGAAGGAAGGAAGGAGGGAAAGAGGAGCAGGGAAGGATGGAAGGAAACGGGAGCAGATTCCGGCGGAACCTACCGGAAGTTGCCCAGGAAGCGCTGGAGGTCTCCTTCCTTCCTTCCCTCCCTCCTTCCTTCTCTCCTTCCTTCCCTCCTCCTTCCCACCCTTCCTTCCTTCCTTCCTTCATTCCGTCCTTCCTTCCTTCCTTCCTTCCCTCCTCCTTCCCACCCTTTTCCTTCCCTCCTTCCCTCCCTCCTTCCTTTCTTTCTTCCCTCCACCTTCCCTTCCTTCCCTCCTTCCTTCCTTCCTTCTTTCCTTCCCTCCTCCTCCCCTTCCTTCCTTCCCTCCTTGCTTCCTTCCTTCTTTCCTTCCCTCCTCCTTCCCTTCCTTCCCTCCTTCCTTTCTTCCCTCCTTCTCTCCTTCCTTCCTTCCTTCCCTCCTTCTTCCCTTCCTTCCTTCCCTCCCTCCTCCTTCCCTTCCTTCCCTCCTTCCTTCCCTCCTTCCTTCTCTCCTTCCTTCCTTCCTTCCCTCCTCCTTCCCTTCCTTCCTTCCTTCCCTCCCTCCCTCCTCCTTCCCTTCCTTCCCTCCTTCCTTCCTTCTCTCCTTCCTTCCTTCTCTCCTTCCTTCCTTCCTTCCTTCCTTCCTTCCCTCCCTCCCTTCCTTCCCTCCCTCCCTCCTTCCTTCCCTCCTCCCTCCCTCCCTCCCTTCCTTCGTTTCCTCCCTCCCTTCCTTCTTCCTTCCGGTGAACCTACTGAAAGTCTCCCAGGAAGCGCTGGAGGTCTTCTTCCTTCCTTCCTTCCTTCTCTCCTTCTTTCCTTCCTTCCCTCCCTCCTTCTCTGCTTCCTTCCTTCCTCCCTCCTTTCCTTCCTTTTTCCTTTGTCCACCTTCCTTCCTTCCTTCTCTTCTCCCTCGCTCTATTTCTCCTTCCTTCCTTCCTTCCTTCCTTCCTTCCTTCCTTCCCTCCCTCCTTCTCTGCTTCCTTCCTTCCTCCCTTCTTTCCTTCCTTTTTCCTTTGTCCACCTTCCTTCCTTCCTTCTTCCTTCTCCTCTCCCTTGCTCTATTTCTCCTTCCTTCCTTCTTCCTTCCCTCCCTCCTTCTCCGCTTCCTTCCTTCCTCCCTCCTTTCCTTCCTTTTTCCTTTGTCCACCTTCCTTCCTTCCTTCTTCCTTCTCCTCTCCCTCGCTCTATTTCTCCTTCCTTCCTTCCTTCCTTCCTTCCCCCCCTCCTTCTCTGCTTCCTTCCTTCCTCCCTTCTTTCCTTCCTTTTTCCTTTGTCCACCTTCCTTCCTTCCTTCTTCCTTCTCCTCTCCCTCGCTCTATTTCTCCTTCCTTCCTTCTTTCCTCCCTCCCTCTCTTTCTCCCTTCCTCCCTCCCTTCCTTCCCTCCATCCTTCCTTCCGGCGGAACTTACCGGAAGTCTCCCAGGAAGCGCTGGAGGTCATGTGAGTCGCCCAGCTCCTCCCTTCCTTCCTTCCCTCCCTCCCTCCTTCCCTTCCTTTCTTCCTTCCTTCCCTCCCTCCTTCTCTGCTTCCTTCCTTCCTTCCTTCCTTCCTTCCTTCCTTCTCTCCTTCCCTCCTCCTTCCCTTCCTTCCTTCCCTCCCTCCCTCCTTCCTTCCTTCCTCCTTTTCTCCCTCTCTCCTTCCCTCTTTCCCTCCCTCCTTCCATCTTTCCTTCCTTCCTTCTCTACTTACTTCCTTTTCTCCCCCTCATTCCGTCCTTCCTTCCCTTCCTTCCTTTCTTCCTTCTCCCTCCCCCCCTTCCTTCCCTCCTTCTCTGCTTCCTTCCTTCCGTCCTCCTTTCTTTTTCCTTCCTTCCCTTCCTTGCTTCCTTCCTTCCCTCCCTCCTTCTTTGCTTCCTTCCTTCCCTCTCTCCTTCCCTCCTCCCTTCTTTTTCCTTCCTTCCTTCTTTCCTCCCTCCCTCTCTTTCTCCCTTCCTTTCCTCCCTTCCTCCCTTCCTTCCCTCCTTCCTTCCTTCCGGCGGAACCTACCGGAAGTCTCCCAGGAAGCGCTGGAGGTCGTGGGAATCTCCCAGCTTACCCTTCCTTCCTTCCCTCCCTCCCTCCTTCCTTCTCTCCTTCCTTCCCTCCCTCCCTCCTTCCTTTCTTCCTTCCCTCCCTCCCTCCCTCCCTTCTTCCCTTCCTTCCTTCTTTCCTCCCTCCCTCTCTTTCTCCGTTCCTCCTTCCCTCCCTCCTTCCTTCCCTCCTCCCTTCTTTTTCCTTCCTTCCTTTTCCCTCCCTTCCTTTCTTCCTTCCCTCCCTCCCTCCCTCCCTTCTTCCCTTCCTTTCTTCCTTCCTTCCCTCCCTCCCTCCCTTCCCTCCCTCCTTCCTTCTTTCCGGCGGAACTTACCAGAAGTCTCCTAGGAAGCGCTGGAGGTCATGCGAATCTCCCAGCTTCTCCTTCCTTCCTTCCCTCCCTCCCTCCTTCCCTTCCTTTCTTCCTTCCTTCCCTCCCTCCTTCTCTGCTTCCTTCCCTTCCTTCCTTCTCCTTCCTTCCTTCCTTCCTTCCTTCCTTCCTTCCTTCCTTCTTCCCTTCCTTCCTTCCTTCTCTCCTTCCTTTCTTCCTTCCTCCCTTCCTTCTTTCCTTCCTTCCTTCCTCCACCCTCCCTCCTTCCTTCCCTCCCTCCTTCCTTCCTTCCGGCGGAACCTACCGGAAGTCTCCCAGGAAGCGCTGGAGATCTCCTTCCTTCCTTCCTTCTCTCCTTCCTTCCTTCCTCCCTTCCTTTCTTCCTTCCTTCCCTCCCTCCCTCTCTCCTTCCTTCCTTCCTTCCTTCCTCCCTTCCTTCCTTCCCTCCCTCCTTCCTTCCGCCGGAACCTACCGGAAGTCTCCCAGGAAGCGCTGGAGGTCTCCTTCCTTCCTTCTCCCTCCCTCCTTCCCTCCCTCCCTCCTTCTCTCCTTCCTTCCCTCCCTCCCTCCTTCCTTCCTTCCTTCCCTCCCTCCTTCCTTCCCTCCCTCCTTCCCTCCTTCCGGCGGAACTTACCGGAAGTCTCCCAGGAAGCGCTGGAGGTCATGTGAGTCGCCCAGCTCCTCCCTTCCTTTCTTCCTTCCTTCCCTCCTTCCTTCCTTCCTTCCTTCCCTCCCTCCCTCCTTCCTTCCTTCCGCCGGAACCTACCGGAAGTCTACCAGGAAGCGCTGGAGGTCTCCTTCCTTCCTTCCTCCCTTCCTTCCTTCCTTCCTTCCTTCCTTCCTCCCTCCCTCCTTCCTTCCTTCCTTCCTTCTTTCCCTCCTTCCTTCCTTCCGGCGGAACTTACCGGAAGTCTCCCAGGAAGCGCTGCAGGTCGTGTGAATCTCCAAGCTTCTCCTTCCTTCCCTCCTTCTCTCCTTCCTTCCTTCCTTCCTTCCTTCCTTCCTTCCTTCTCTCCTTCCTTCCTTCCTTCCCTCCTCCTTTCCTCCTCCTTCCCTCCCTTCCCTCCTTCCCTCCCTCCTTCCTTCCAGCGGAACCTACCGGAAGTCTCCCAGGAAGCGCTGGAGGTCATGTGAGTCGCCCAGCTCCTCCCTTCCTTCCTTCCTTCTCTCCTTCCTTCCTTCCCTCCTCCTTCCCTCCCTTCCTTCCTTCCCTCCCTCCTTCCTTCCCTCCTTCCTTCCTTCCGCCGGAACCTACCAGAAGTCTCCCAGGAAGCGCTGGAGGTCGTGGGAATCTCCCAGCTTCTTCCTTCCTTCCCTCCTTCTCTCCTTCCTTCCCTCCTTCCTTCCTTCCTTCCTTCCTTCCTCCCTCCCTCCTTCGGTCCCTCCTCCCTCCCTCCCTTCCCTCCCTCCTTCCTTCTCTCCTTCATTCCGGCGGAACCTACCGGAAGTCTCCCAGGAAGCGCTGGAGGTCTCCTTCCTTCCTTCCTCCCTCCCTTCCTTCCCTCCTACTCTCCTTCCTTCCCTCCTTCCTTCCTCCCTCCCTCCTTCCTTCCTTCCCTCCTTCTCTGCTTCCTTCCTTCCTTCTTCCTTCTCCTCTCCCTCGCTCTATTTCTCCTTCCTTCCTTCCTCCCTCCCTCCCTCCCTTCCTTCCTTCCTTCCCTCCCTCCTTCCTTCCTTCCGGTGGAACCTACCGGAAGTCTCCCAGGAAGCGCTGGAGGTCTCCTTCCTCCCTTCCTTTTCCCTCCCTCCCTCCTTCCCTCTCTCCTTCCTTTCTTCCTTCCTCCCTCCCTCCTTCCTTCCTTCCCTCCCTCCCTCTTTCCTTCCTTCCCTCCTTCCTTCCCTCCCTCCTTCCCTCCTTCCGCCGGAACCTACCGGAAGTCTCCCAGGAAGCGCTGGAGGTCTCCTTCCTCCCTTCCTTTTCCCTCCCTCCCTCCTTCCCTCTCTCCTTCCTTTCTTCCTTCCCTCCCTCCCTCCCTCCTTCCTTCCTTCCCTCCCTCCCTCTTTCCTTCCTTCCCTCCCTCCTTCCCTCCCTCCTTCCCTCTTTCCGCCGGAACCTACCGGAAGTCTCCCAGGAAGCGCTGGAGGTCGTGGGAATCTCCCAGCTTCCCCTTCCTCTGGTCGGCCCGCTTTCCCAGGCTGCTCCAGGCCTGGTTCAACTCGGTGCATTTCTCCCGCAGATCCTCCCCCGACTCCGGGTGAGACTGGATCAGGCGCTCGGCCGTCTCCCCCAGGGAGTTGACCTGCGGGCCGGAGGAGAAGGATCCGGAAGGTGGGAGGAGAAAGATCCGGAAGGTGGGAGGAGAAAGATCCGGAAGGTGGGAGGAGAAAGAGCCGGAAGGTGGGAGGAGAAAGAGCCGGAAGGTGGGAGGAGAAAGAGCCGGAAGGTGGGAGGAGAAGGAGCCGGAAGGTGGGAGGAGAAGGAGCCGGAAGGTGGGAGGAGAAGGATCCGGAAGGTGGGAGGAGAAGGAGCCGGAAGGTGGGAGGAGAAAGAGCCGGAAGGTGGGAGGAGAAAGAGCCGGAAGGTGGGAGGAGAAAGAGCCGGAAGGTGGGAGGAGAAAGAGCCGGAAGGTGGGAGGAGAAAGAGCCGGAAGGTGGGAGGAGAAAGAGCCGGAAGGTGGGAGGAGAAAGAGCCGGAAGGTGGGAGGAGAAAGAGCCGGAAGGTGGGAGGAGAAAGAGCCGGAAGGTGGGAGGAGAAAGAGCCGGAAGGTGGGAGGAGAAAGATCCGGAAGGTGGGAGGAGAAAGATCCGGAAGGTGGGAGGAGAAAGATCCGGAAGGTGGGAGGAGAAAGAGCCGGAAGGTGGGAGGAAAAGGATCCGGAAGGTGGGAGGAGAAAGAGCCGGAAGGTGG